GAGAAGTTCAAAAGCTTGCATATATCTCTCTTCAAACACGAACTTGGTATCTCTCTCCAATAACTTGCATAAGGGATTCAATACCTTCGAAAAGTCTTGGATAAATCTTCGGTAGAACCCCGCATGCCCAAGAAACCTTCGAACTCCCTTGACAGAGGTAGGGGGAAGCCTTGAAATAATATCAATTTTTGCTTTGTCTACCTCTATACCATGCTTTGAAATTTTATGCCCAAGAACTATGCCCTCTTCCACCATAAAGTGGCATTTCTCCTAATTAAGAACAAGATTGGTTTCTTCACAATGAGCCAACATTCTATCAAGGTTTTTCAAGCATTCATCAAATGAATCACCCACAACACTAAAGTCATCCATGAACACCTCCAAGATATCTTTCACCATATCGGTGAAAATGGCCATCATACATCACTGAAATGTAGCCGGTGCATTACACAACCCAAAAGGCATCGGAGAAAAGGCAAAGGTGCCATATAGACAAGTGAATATGGTCTTCTCCTGATCTTCCAGAGCAATCAAGACTTGGTTGTACCAGGAATACCCATCAAAGAAACAATAGAAGGCATTCCCAGCAAGTCGATCTAACATATCAAGAAAAGGCAATGGAAAGTGATCCTTGCGGGTCACTTTATTCAACTTGCGGTAGTCCATGCATACCCTCCAACTGATGACAGTCTTGATAGGAATCAACTTATTTTGCGAAATTGCAACCACGATCATGCCACCCTTCTTCGGTACACATTGCACCGGCGAAGTCCAAGAGCTATCAGATATGGGGTACACAACCCCGACATCCAACCACTTAATCACCTCTTTTTTACAACTTCTTGCATTGCCTCGTTCAACCTCCTTTGATGTTCCAAGGAGGGTTTTGCATCATCTTCTAGAATAATCTTGTGCATACAGAATGCGGGGATTATCCCCCTAATATCAGCTAAATTCCATCCAATTGCCTTTTTCTGCATTTAAAGCACCACCAATGTGGCCTCAACCTGCATGTTAGTAAGACAAGAGGAAAGAATAACTGGCAAAGTAGAACTAGGGCCTAAAAAATCATACCTGAGGTGTGGAGGTAGCGGCTTCAACTCCAACACCGGAGGTTCCTCAATTGAAGGTTTTGTTGGTGGAGTCTTCCTCTTCTCAAGGTACAAAGATAGTTTCCTAGGCTCATAAGAGTAAGAGCACATTCCATGTAAAGCATTCACACACTCCACTCGGCCTTCATCATCATTTACATCAAGATTCAACAATATGACCTCTAGAAGGTCCTCCACATTGATCATTGCATTAGTATCATCAACTATCACTGCTGTGACAAGGTCCACAAAAGAGCACACCTCAAAACTGTTGGGCTGCTTCATTGACTTGCATATATGAAATACCACTTTCTCATCACCCACTCGGAAGGTGAGTTCCCCTGCTTCCACATCAACTAAGGTCTTCCTAGTAGCAAGGAAAGTTTTTCCCAATATGATTGGAACTTCATAATCTACCTCACAGTCCAAGATCACAAAATCAGCTGGAAAGATAAATTTGTCCACCCAGACAAGAACATCATCAATAATACCCAATGGTCTCTTCATAGTTCTATCCTTCATTTGCAATCTCATGGAAGTCGGCCTCGGTTGCCCAATACCCAAAGTCTTACAAACTGAGTAGGGCATCAAGTTGATACTTGCCCCCAAATCACATAGAGCCTTAACAAAGTCCGCACTCCCAATGGTATAAGGAATGGTGAAAGCACCATGATCTTCAAGCTTCGGGGCCGTTGCATGCACTATCGCAATAACTTGGTGGGTCATCTTGATAGTTTCACAATCCATGGATCTTTTCTGTCACCAAGTCCTTCATGAATTTAGCATAGCCCGACATTTGTTCAAGAGCCTCCACCAAAGACACATTAATGGATAAGCTCTCCATCATGTCAATGAACTTTTTCAACTAATTCTCATTTTTCTGCTTTGCGAGCCTTTGAGGATAAGGTAGAGGTGGCCTTGGCAAAGGAGCCTTGGCTTTAGGCACAACCGGCTTCGGCATGTCAATTATGTGTTCCCTAGACGGGTTCACGTAATTCTAAGTCTCCACCTTGGAATCTTGAATATCAATACTCACTTCTTCATTCACATTCTCATCAATCACATTTTCAACCACCAAAGGAATTTCATCTTCTTGCAACCCAGCTTCATCACTCAAAACTGCTTTTTGCTTGGAGGCATTAACATTACCGCCTCTTCCACTTCACGTAGTCACCATCACATGATTGTTCTCACCCTTCGGGTTAGCTACCATATCACTTGGTAGTGCCCCTTTAGGGCGAGTATTCAAGGATTGTAAGATTTTGCCTAATTGAACCTCCAAGTTTCTGATTAAAGTATTATGGGAAGACAACTGGGCATCAAAGTCCGCATTCTGTTTCATCATCTATTCAAACATCATTTCAATTCTCCCCATTTCGTTGTTGGAGGAACTAGGACCTTGGGATGGAAATGGGGGTGGATTGTTCGGTTGTTGATACATTAGGGGCCTTTGAAATCCTTGCCCCCGATTTCCTTGATTGCCATTGCTCCAACCTCCCTGGTTGTTATTACCACCCTAGTTGTTGTTGTTGCCATTCCAATTACCCTGATTGCTCTGATTATTATTCTGATTACCCCAATTGTAATTTTGGTTGTTGTTCCCCCAATTATTGTTCCCTTGTTGTTGTTGATTGCCCCAATTGGAATTTTGGTTGTTGTTCCCCCAATTATTGTTCCCTTGTTGTTGTTGATTGCCCCAATTGCCTTGGGGTCTCCATTACTATTGGTTGGAAGAATTGCCCCTTTGGCCTTGATAGTTGTTCACGTATTGTACCTCTTCATTCTACCCATCATAACCATCGTCTTGGAGTCCACCACAATCATTGTCAAATTGATCTGAACTCCCTTGGTTTTGTTGACCTCTTTATCTTCTTTTGTTCACTAGCATGTTGACACCCTCCATAGCATTCACTTGGTACGGATTTTGAATTTGTTGCAACTGTGCCTTTACTAGTTGATTCATTGTAGTTGTCAGCTCTGTTATAGCCTGCCCATGGTCATGTAGCTCGTTGTGCAAGTGAATGACCGTGGGGTCACCCTGTGGCACATTGGCTCTACTTTGCCAAGCGGAGGACATGTTAGCCATCTCATCAAGAATGTCACAAGCCTCATCATACGACAGCTTCATGAAGTTACCCCCAGCAAGTTGGTTCACTATGCACTAGTTTGTTGTGTTAATGGCTCGGTAGAAAGTCTGTTGGATCATTGCCTCAGTCATATCATTGTTAGGGCATTACTTTACCATTGCTCTATAGCACTCCCAAATCTCATGTAATGGTTCAGTGGGCTCTTGCTTGAAGGATAAGATCTCATCTCTCAACGTTGTCATGTGCCCCGGTGAGAAAAACTTTGCAATGAACTTATCAGCCAACTCATCCCAAGTAGTGATGGAATGGTTGGGAAGTCACTCAAGCCAATCCAATGCCTTCCCTCTAAGTGATAAAGGGAAGAGTCTCAACCGAAGTGCATCCCCGGACACATTAGTTTGATTGCTCCCCCAACAGGTATCCACGAAACCCTTAAGATGTTGGTAAGCATTCTAATTGGCAGCGCCCGTGAAATACCCACGCTGCTCCAGCAATGTCAGCATCACATTGGTCGTTTGAAAATTGCCCGCCCGGATCCAGGGTGAGACAATTGCACTTGCACAGCCTTGGTTAGGAAGCACTCGAGGAGCTACTTTTGGAGATGGCGGGGGAGGGTCTGGAACATTATTATTGGCTTGGCGGCCTCTCTTTCGTCCTTGAGGGACAATAGGGACCTCATTATCAACAGTGTCACCTACCTCCTCCCCCGACAGAAGATCTCCAAGAGGTGAGTTGTTTAAGTTTGCGGTCATTTTGTACCTGAAGTTGTGACACATACAAATTAGTAACACAGAAGGAAAGAAGAACAATACACAAAACTATTTAGATAGATAGCCAAAACTGTTAGCTCCCTGACAACAGCGCCAAAAAGTGATCGAGGCCAACCCTGCACTACTACAAAGTAGCAAGAGTGGTCGAAGCAGCTTTTACCCGAGAAGGTCGGGATCGATTTTCACAAGGAGCTAGAAATGGGAATTGAGTTTCTATCTAAATTGGAATTGTGTAATTGTTCCTAATTGCACTTCTATTCATAGTTGGTTTTGATATTTCTTCTAAATTTAGACTACTAAGATGCTAAATTAAGTTAAGTTGAGCTAAGAGTAAATTATTGAAGGTTGTCTAAATAGTTAAGAAGGCACTAGGGAAATGACTTTCTCCTAGGTGGATACTTGATGGGTTCTCGAATCTAAGGCTAGGTTGTCATATTTGGGGATTACGATATAACCATTGCACGATACTACTCACTCTATACCTCTCGTTAGTTTGAGTGATTTTGCCCTAATTAACTTTCTCAAGACCAATTGGGTATGATAATTTGTGCAAGCAATTGAGGTTCAAGTCGGGTATTACTATCTCTAGGTTTAACCCTTTAATTAGGGCTATCAATCTCTTGAATATGCCCCAATTCCTTGTTGGAGTAATTTTCCTAGACTTAGGCTCTCTTTCTCAATAAGAGCCCAAGTCAAATAGGCATAAATTAGTATTTGCAACCACTAATCCAACATTAAAACTATAAATTAGTCCAAATATCAAACACTCATAGACATTCAAGCCTTAAAACACAAGACCCATCAAATACCCACACTAGGGTTGAGCCACAACCCTAGCTAATGGGTATAACTACTCATGATAATAGAAGAAACTAAAGAAATAGATGAAGAAAAATCCATAATATTTAATTACAAGCTAAAACTTGAAGATTCAATGATGAAACTATTGTAAAATTACTCAAAATAGTAAAGGGACACTAATCACGAGCGCAACTCTACTTAAAATTATATCTGATGACCTAAAAAGGGGAAAAGAAACTATTTATACTAGGCAAAATTTTCTGGACAAAAATACCCATGCGGGGTAATGCAGACCGCACAAAATCGAGTGTGGCCACACTGAGGCTCTTGGCTTAAAACTTTTGATCTCTGAACTTGGCCACCGCGGGCCGTACAAAATGCATCGCGGCCGCGGTGGCTTTTGTTGCGGTCTGCACAAAAAGGACCGCGAACCGCATTGGCAATGTTTCCTTAAATTGGAAACTCTCTGAACCTCAGCTTTGCAGACCGCACAGAATCGAATGCGGCCGCAATGAAGCCAATATGGTCCGTATGAAATGCTTTGCGGCTGCATTGCTTGAATGTTTGAAATGAGCACCTCTCTGAACTTCCTCTTTGCGGACCGCACAGAATGGAGTGTGGCCGCATTGGTCCTGTTACACTGTGCTTGGACTTGTATTGTGCATGTTTCACTCCTTTTTGAGCTAGTTTTAACGAATTGTCACCTTGTTGACCAAACCCTTCAATCAAGTACAACATGTAAGCCTTTAGAACTATTTTGTACCCATTTCTTAATCAAAACTCAAGTAAGAAAGAGTGTAAAACGCATCATAATCCCTAATTATCAGTAGCTAACAGTGCAAGCAGTAAGCCATGGATTTCAAAGGTGTTAATTAGAACATAGTTATAGAATCAGAAGTGTTTAGGGGGGTTCATGGGATTGGGAGATGACATAGTATAGGATTTCATAGCAACAGTGAGGACATAGAAGTACTAAACATGATTGGGCATAGCATCAGAATAACTTAGGGTGACAAATCAATTTTGCAAAGCAGGTGCAAACCAGAAACCAACTAACACATAACCATTCAAACATATACTAATAAAGTGAAGCCAGTATATACTACAAGGAATGGACAAGCTCATATCATGCTGATCACATATTTGAATTAGGACAGAACTAACAGTGATCCAAACAGGCTAGTTGCATATTGAAAGGTCAGATAATATACAGGAATAGACTGGTAACTAATAAACTAAAACAGCAAGAAAAAACATAGTGTTTAGGACTTGAATTGAAATCAGAACATACCGGTTAAGGAGAATAGACACAAAGTGAAGAGCAATAGGGTGCAATAACTAGCCTTGTCTTGCAGCCAACTATATCAGTAATAGTAGCAAGTAACAAGAAAGAGAGCAGAAAGCTTTAAGTGTGTTTATGAACTAATGTTCGTGTCTAATGAGAGTAGAAGAAAGAATATATATATATATACTTGAAAGCTAGGTAAATAAGGTAAGAATCAAATTTCTCAGTAATTGGAGAACTCAGAATCAATTAAAGTAAAATCAGTCCAAGTCTTCCCTTAATTAAGTGAGTCATTTCAAACGGTAAAGAACGAGTACCAAATAAGGAAAGAGTTCAAAAGACCCAAGGACAGAATAAGCAATTAGGGGTAGATACATAGAGTTCTAATTAAGGAAATAATAGTAATAATCGAGCAATAATGCAGCCAATCACATAACAAGGTAAGAAAATATTTTAAAGGTTGTGAAAACAGGAAGTCAAGGATTTAAAGAGTCGGAAAATAGTACTAATACTAAAGAAAACATTATAAACTTCCATGAATAACTAGTACTGAGTATAGCCAGAAAGAAACAAATGAGAAGCCCTAGTAAGACATTATTGGGGTAAAAATCACTAATCGAAACATATTCATGGGCTTCGAACACACACATAGCAGAATCGACAAGCAAAAATGAACTCGGGCTTATAACATAGTGTTAAAACTGGGTTTTTAACATAACAAATTAGGATTAAAAAGCAATTTTAACAAAAAGTCATTCAAACATATGAGAATCAGAGAACAACATTAAAAGACCAGAAATATGTTTTTGAAAAAAAAAGTTCCAAAAACCCTAATGGGAAAATAAAGCGATGCTTAGAGAAATCGAAAGGTTTTTCATAAAACAAACGAAAATAGCTCAGAAAAACCTCAGATCTGTTACAGATCTAAGAGGTACAGGAGAAGAGATTAGGGTTTTCTAGAAAATAACCTAGAAATAGAGAGACCGGCTTAGAAACCCATAGGTTTAGAGAGAAATATGAAGATCTTACTCAATCGGGCCATAGTGGCCTGAGAACGGCGAGAATAGGCCATGGGTGGTGAGCGAACAACCACTAGTCCCTTGTGTACCTCAAGACAGCAAGAATCCGGTCATGGGTGAGCCATTAGGGCTAGGTGTGGTGGTGGGCCACCATTATTACCGGCAAGCAAGCAGCCGACGAAGGGGAGTTAGGGTTTAGGTAGAGGGAATTTGAGAGAGAAGGAGAGGGGCGACGGCGGGTGAGTGAAGAGTGAATGAGGGGTTTGGGGGTATAGGTTTAGGTTAAATTATCAACAGCCAGGATTTAATCATCATTGGGCCGGGTAGTATTAGGAATTGGGCTTGGGGTATGGGCTAGTTTAATTAAGGATTCGTGCTGGTTTAATTAAGGCTAAAATTGAAATAAAAATGGGCTATTTGTTAAATACCCGAATTAAATTAGTCAAAAAAGTTTATAATAAAATTATTAATTATAAAAAGTGATTCTATTACATTAGAATAATTTAGAAATGATTATTTGGTATTTAAAAATATAAAGGACTAATATTTGGTAAAAAATAGTACAAAATTATATGTATGGGCTATAATTGCAAAGTTATTGCAATTATAGCCAAGAGGTGCCAATTTGGCTATTTTATGGAACAATTTGGTCTTAATAGGACCATAAAAAATAAATTAAATCAAGAAATGCCTTTGAAATCATTTGTGATGCAATTTTGTATTCATTTATTGGAAATAAAATATTGGACAAATAAAACAATGTGGAAATATTATGGAAAAAATACCAATTGGTGTTAATGCATGATTTGAAGGTATATATGCAACTAAAAATATTTTGGGAAAATTGGGCATCAACAAGCATTGACGAAGTGGGTGGAATCAGGTGAGAAGAAAATTGAGGCCAATGACAAAAAGGTAAAGACATATAACTCCAAGGTCGATCAAATCTCAGGGGCACCCCCGATATTAAAAGGACCGAATTCAAAGAAGTTCATCCACGGGCCTTTACCTCTAAGCGCTGCATCAAAGCTGATCCCCAAAAGTTTTGTATGCTCAATATTTCAAAGTACAACGGAACCATAGATCTCAATAAGCATGTGACTTCCTATACGTGTGTCATCAAGGGGGACGACTTCGAAGAAGACAAAATCTAGTCGGTTTTGCTAAATAAGTTCGGGTAAACTTTTTCAAAGGGAGCAATGATATAGTATCACGACTTACCCCCAAATTCTATTGATTTGTTTGCTATGCTTGCAGATGTTTTTGTGAAGGCTCATGCCGGTGCCATCAAGGTCGAGACCTGAAAATCGGCCTTTTTTAAGGTTAAGAAGAGAGAAGGAGATGCTCAAGGAGTTGGTGTCAAGGTTTCAAAAGGAACGAATGGACTTGCCTCCAGTTGCGGATGAATGGGCCGTTCAGGCATTCACTCAAGGACTTAACCCCCGAAGCTCCTTGGCTTCACAATAGCTAAAACAAAAATTTGGTAAAGTACCCGACGGTAATTTGGGCCGATGTCCACAACAATTACCAGTCAAAAATCAGTGTCGAAGATGACCAACTCGGTGCCCCTTCTGGGTTCGTTTATACCATCAGAAATGACGAAAGGTCTAAGAGAGTCGTCAATCATGAATTAAGGCTAGTATGAGATCGGTATCAACCATACATCGCAGATCGAAGGGGAAATGGGTTCGGGTGCAACTCTACGAGGAACGAGAAAAAAAGCGATCGAGGGACCAATAAGTGAAGTCTGATGAGCAAAAATGGTTTCGACATGTCACTTGGGGGAAGGGAAGCACCAAGATTATCAGAGTATAACTTCAACAGTTATACAACTAGCATCGTATCATCCATTGGGTGCATCAAGGAAACCAAGTGGCCTCGTCTATTACAGTCTGACCTTACCTAGAGATATCCTAACCTGATGTGTAAGTATCATGGCACTCATGGCCACAGGACTGAGAACTGCTGACAATTGAGAGAAAAAGTTGTCCGGTTGTTAAATAATAGGCACCTCCGAGGATTTCTATTACACACCGCAGTATTACGTCGATATTATACTCTATAGTAATATATTACGATGATATTACCCTCTGCAGTAGTATATTACGAGGATGTTATGTCCTGCAGTATTACATTACAATGATGTTACACTTCGCAGTAATAAGTTACGACCGTATTGCACCCTGTAATATTTTACGTTGAATTTGTCGTAAGGTAATTGACATCGGTCCAAGGAAAAGATTATTTGAAGATTATAAGGATTATGTTATTTCAAACAAGTGATGAGTAAATTCATGAAGATGAAAGAGTAAGCATGTCAAAGAAAATGAATTTTCGTCAAAGTTTGGCACTTTGGGGTAAAATACGGCCCGAGCTAAAATACTCGGTATTTATAGACTATTGTCATACAAGGTACTACATGACCATAGTAGTAAGGTGTATAAGGTCTGTTAAAAGTGAGTAATATTTGTTACGACCCAAAGGGTCATCACCGTAATTCTTCCTAGTTCCGTACTTCCGAGGCCCTGAAAACCTCGCTTTTAGTTACCTCGATTTGCGTACACAGTTCGGGCACGTAGCCGGAAAGTTTTTATGTTAGAATAGGCAAACTTTGTGAAATATTTGATGAATTTTGATATTAATATGCATAATATTGACTTCGGTCAACATTTTAGGTAAAACGGACCAGGACCTATGATTCGACGGCCCCGGAGGGTCTGTAGAAAAATATGGGACTTGGGCGTGTACCCGGAATCAAATTCTGAGGTCCCAAGCCCGAGAAATGAATTTTCGTGTGAAATTGTTTTTTGAAATTAATTAAGGAAAATGAAGAAGAAAATTGATTAGAAAACTATGGTATCGGGCTCGTATTTTGGTTCCGACGCCCGATATGAGTCTTAAATATGTTTTAAGCACTATCTGTAAAGTTTGGCTAAAAACAGACATCATATGACGTGTTTCGGACTTAAAATGAGGAATTTTAGTTTTTATGAAAGTTGAAAGAAAATCATGTATTTTGAGGCATGATCCTATGTATATGATGTTATTTTGGAGATTTGATCGCACGAGTAAGTCCGTAAGGTGTTTTCAAGATCATATGAATGTTTGGTTTGGAGCCCCGAGGGCTCAGTCAGTTTTAAGTAGGTCCTGGGAGGTCTTAGACTTAGAAAAATATACAGGTTCAGATGTTACAGGCCCAGCGCGGCCGCGGCCATTTCCGCGCGGTCCGTGCTGGTAGCCACGCGGCTATGGTGCTTTTCTGTGCGGTCCGCGTGGTGGGGTTCAGAGGGTCGACCAGTGCGGCCGCGCACCAAATCAGTGTGGTCCGCGCTGGGTGGGTTCAGAGAGAGCCCACTTCTCCCCTCCCTCGGCGCGGTCGCGGTGCATTTCTGTGCGGTCCGTGCCAGCCCCCAGCAAAATATATAAATTCAGAATTTTTAGTCATTTTTCCACTTTTCAAAAAAACCCAAAACCTAAGAGGCGATTTTCCAAACAACTTTTCCTCTTCAAAACGATTGGTAAGTGATTTCTAACTCATTTGCTTCACTTCTTAACATGATTTCAACTTCAAAACAAAGATTTTCATGGGGGAAATTGGGTGTTTTGGGTAGAACCTAGGTTTTCTACAAATTGAGGAGTTGGACCTCAATTTGGGGTCCGATTTCAAAACAAAGCATATTTTGGATTCGCGGAAGAATGGGTAACCGGGTTTTGGTCCGAACCTTGAGTTTCGACCACGTGGGTCCGGGGGTGTTTTGACCATTTTGGGAAAAACCTTGTAAAATTTATTTTCATGCATGGGGAGTGATTCATTTAGTAATTATTAATGTGATTAAGTAACTTATGACTAGATTCGAGCTTGGTGGTGGAATCAAGAAGTAAAGCTATACTAGAAGCGTGAGTTGAGTTTGGAGCATTCGAGGTAAGTGTTTGTTCTATCTTTGGCTTGAAAGAATAGTATTACGATGTTATTTGCTACTTGATAATGTGGAGTACGGTGTATAGGCATGGTGACGGTTATCTATGCACCGGAGTCCAGCATGACCATGAGTCTTAATTGCTTTTAATTCGAATAACGTGACACAATCTCCTTGTTTATTTGATGAGTTTCCTATATTGTGAACGGTTGAGGTAAAATTGTGAATTGTGTACTTTTGGAGCGTTAGCTCGAACATGAATGTGTTAGATGAGGAAGAAGGGATTTAAAAAGAGAATGTGTTGTGATTACTCTCTGCCGGGATGTGTAGACCTATATATATACTCTCCCTTGTCGGGATATTTTGGCATGTTAGTTGTACCCTTGCTGGGTTAGAGTAATATGTTGTTAATTTCTCCTAATGGGACTCTCCTTATAAAATCAAATGTTTTGAATTATATTATGGGATCGTGTGGCACGCCGTCCACTTTTATATATGATATTATGGGATCGTGTGGCACGCCGTCCACTTATATATGATATTATGGGATCGTGTGGCANGTGCTTCCTCTTCGACCGCGCAGCAGCTCGAGCCCCTAGCAGCAGCTCCTATCAGGGGCAGGTGGCCAGGCCGAGGCCGTGCCAGAGGCCTAGGCCGAGGCAGAGCTCAGCCGCGAGTGGCAGTCCCATAGTTGGATCCTCATGTTGACTGCGACGAAGGGGTTCCAGCTCTAGCAGCTCCGGTGGGCCCAGCTCAGGTTCTAGAGGGTTTCATAGCCACTCCAGTGCTTCAGGACGCTTTGGTCCGATTGGTAGGCTTTATG